CAAAAACCAAAAAAAAAGGTTTTTTGAGCTTAGTGGCATATCCCAAGCTGTTGAATTTCTTTCTCAGGATGATTGTGATCTTCTTGCACTATAAATTATATTGTATATAATCTCATAAACGAATATGAAATGCCCCACTCCAGCACACCCCACCGAAAAAAAAAGTGGTCAAATAGCCCAAGGGGTTAAAAACAAATAAAATGAAAATGAAGAAAAGAAGCAAAGCTTGGTAAAAATAGCCCAAGGGCTTATTCAATCCATTGCTGGGAGGGAGATATTTGGACAGGTTATCAATTGGCAAGAGGATTTGTATGATTCATAGCTTCAAAAATAATTACTAAGAAAAATCACTTTACATAGTAATATATCAGTTGCCTAAAGAGTAATTCTTATCAAATTATCACATTTTCTTGAAGGTTACCACTAAATCATTGAATATATTAGTTGCCTAAAGAGTAATTCTTATCAAATTATCATTTGTATCTTAAAGGTTGCCATTTAATCATTGAATGTTTGAAAGAACTAGTATTATCAAGATTGGATCGATGCTTGACCTAGTGAAGGGATTGGTCTAGTCGATCTCGAAACCGGCCCAACTAGCGGTTATACCCGGTTGAACATCTTTTTTAATATAAACAAATCACAAAATGGGCTAAGTTAAAAATACGTTAGGTAAAACCAATGAAAAGTTGGTAAAAGAGTGTAGCATTTCCAATATTAGTTAAAGGAAAAAGTTTATATAGAGCCGAGGCTCTTAACAATCAAATTAGAGCCCACATGAAAAATTTCACTGGAAGAGGATGTTTTGATGCCCACATATCTTCAAATTGATCATCTCGACATCAAGATGCATGGAGATGAGGAAACAATGTATTTCAAGTTTTGGAAATAGTGCATCTTATAACGCATTTTTGGACTGTCAATTTTCAAGTTTTCATAAATCTACTCAGTTTACACTATTTTTGAAGCTTTAAATTTTATAATTAAAGATGAAAATATAAAAAATGACAAAAAAAGGAAGGAATTTTGACAAAATTTAATGACCTATCAAAATAAAAATATTAAAAATGACAAAAAAGGAAGGAATTTTGACAAATTTGATTTTTCTAAGTTTTGAAAAATGAAGGAGTTTTGAAAAATGAAGGAATTTTGAAAATTTTGATATACTTATTTTATATCACAAATTTTTGGTCAAAAATTTGCCAATAAAAAGATCACATGAAATCAAAATAAAAACATGGAAAGAAGGTATAAAATCCTATAAAATTTTGGCAAAAATTTAAAAATATGTAATTAAATTCGATGTTTTCAAAATCGGATGGTCTATTAAAACTAGCAAAACTGACGATTGAACCAATTTGACAGTCAAATGGCAGTTTTGACTTGTACTACAAATACATGTTTGTTTAGGGCTGCCATCGGATCAGAGAAAGTTCCAATCACCAAATCTACTAGTCAGATCGCGAGTTCGGCCTGGTCTATTCTTAATATGGGAAAAACATTCAAGATAATTTAGAATTTTAAGTTTTAAAAATTATTCATTAATGCCTGAGAAATAGCTTGAAATTAAATGTATCTAAACCTTGAATTTTGTGGATGAAATTTAAAACTGATTCAATTTCGTTTTAACCCCAAAACTTTCCCGGAAAAAAAAAAGTTTTGACAAGTAATTACCACTCTAAGGTTTCCAAGTGGCACTAAGGTTTTTAAGAAAGAGCGGAATGGGATTTTCTATTTAATCGTGTCTTTCTTTCATTGGGGGCAATTTCGTAAGTTGAAAAAAGAAGCATCCGCGTAAGTTCCTCAGAAGAGGGCCGAAGTGATATTTAGCTCAAAACTAGTGGCATTTAGTGAAAAGTCGGAAGTGCCTTTCCCTTTCCTTCTAATTGTTTGCAAAACTTTTTCCGAATTTATGTGAAATCCTTTGGAGAGGGCGCATAGAACTACTTTCTCAATTCCCAATTTTAAAGGAATTTATTTCCGCTGAATTTTTTCTATAAATACTTTCCCATGTGTCATGACCTGCGCCTGGACAATTTTTAGAGAGAGAAAAAGAGAGAGCCCACTTTTTATCTCAGAGAGGAGTAAGAGCAAGAGCAAGCTGTCTTTCAAGTAAGTTTTTCGCCTTGTATATATATTTTTCAAGTTTTTTCCAATGTGCATGTAGTGTTGATTGCTTTTGTTCTTATGTTTGTTTTTGTTGTGAATGTTGAATTTTGTTAAATCTTTTTTTTGTGAATGTAAAAAAATTTAGTGTTAACACTAACTTGTAAATGGTGGATGCTAAAATTTGTTAATTCTTGCTGGATTCAGTAAGACCTATAAATGGTGGATGCTAAAATTTATTAATTTTTGCTGGATTCAGTAAGAAAATCATGTAATTTGAGTTCTGGTTACTGTAATGTTAGTTCTTTTTGATGAATATAACTTATCGATATATTTGGAGATGAATGCATTTGATTGTGCAATTTTGTTTTTTTGGTGGAGTTTTTTTTAGTTTACTTTATCAACTGTGCTAATTGATCTTGTTTTTGCCTTTGTTATAATCAGGAATGGGTGCATTGGTTTTAATCTGTGTTCTTTACCATCTGAAGTATGGTTTATTTTTAATGGATACTTTCTCTGTTTTTTTAGTAATTCCAGTTTTCAACATGATTTATTTTGACGTGGGTACTGAATTTTGAAGAAAAAAATCAGAGGAGAGTATAGAGTAGCGAGTGCATGTTTCTGGATGTGTTGTCTTGTGAACTTAAAATTTCCTGATGATGATATGTTTGGTTGGGAAGTTTTAAAAATCGTGTAGATTAGTGTTTTTTAACTTAATATTCCACTTATTTGTTTGGGAAGTTTAAGCATTTTTTACCAAATGCCAGCTTTAGTATAGCCTTTCTGAATTCTGACGTAGTTTTTGGATGTAAAATTTTATGCTGTTTAGGATGAGGGCAAAAGAGTGTTTTTCTTAATACAGTTATTGAAACCTTATCTTTAAGGTACTTATTATGGTTCTAATACCATAATTTGTTTCTCATTGGGCACTAGTATTGCTTCCTCCTTGATTCACTAATTGCTTCCTTGTCTTCTCTTCATTTTTCTCTTGTAATTACAGGTTTATTTGCTTGATTTTGGAAATGCAAGCATTTAAACCAGCATTCTTTTGATATAGGGCTGCTACCTAGAGCCAAGGCCGGGGTTAAGTAGGGAAATGTTAACTTTCAGCTCGGCTTAAGGCTTGCCTCGGATTGGGACTTGGCCCTGCCTGAGCCAAGTAAACTCCGGTGGGCTCACTTGAGTAGTATACAGGAACCAAAACGGCCACAAATTAAATAAATCAAAACATTTGTTAAAAGTAAAATAAAAATACTTAAATCAAACTAGACTAGAAGTTATATAAAAAGTCCAACTGAGACAGAAAAAAAACTAAACAAAACATGGATTTAGAAAAAAAAAATTGATTTATTGTTGGAGACATTTCAGAATAATAAAAAAAAGAGAAATATAAAAACATGGAATATGACAAGAAAAACTCACAAATCATCATGAAAAACATCCAAATTACATATAAAATATTTATACATTAATTTCACAATTTTAACATAATATATATATATATATATATATATATATTATTTTTTTTTATTTTTTTTATTTTTTTATTTTTTAAATTACCCGTAGTTTTTCCTAATGACTAAGCTCGGTAGGGACCAAGTCCGAGTAACTTGGTAGAGTTCAAGTGGACCTTGCCAAGTTTTTAACCACTGGTGGAGATTTAGGCTTTAATGTGATTTGGCTTGTTAATTTTATAGTAAATAGAAGAGGAAACAGCTTTTAATTTTTTTCCTGAATTTCTAAGTTTTTGGTTATTGTTTCTCCTACATTCTAGCTTTTAAGTCCCGAGGATCGTAGAAAGTTTATTGTTGTTTCTGGAATAATGTATTAACATTTAATAGCATTCTTTTTGTATTGATTTCGTGTCTTACATAGCATGTCAAAGGTGTAGTTGAAGTTGCTCAATGGTGGTAATTGTATTTCATATTCTGTCTGAATTCCTTGATCTTTATTTCACTTTAGAATTATGTATATTTTTTTATTGTTTTGTAGGTGCTTCTTGATCGATGTGGTGCTTAATGTCTATTGCTTAGGAAGTCGAAACCTTGAAGCTCATTTTTTGATGTACTTTCTGGATTCCTAGAAAAGATAGAATGGTAAGTAATTTTCATTAGGATTTTTTCACTTACCAAAACAGGTTCTTTTAGATTTTATAATTCAGGTTTCAATAGATATCTCTAACTTGAATGATGCTTTGAAATCCAGTATATTTAGTAAAATTGAGACAGCTACATTAGGCTGTGGAGTGAGTGTAAGCACTTGCATGTGCACATGTGTGTTTGTGTGTGTGTGAGAGAGAGAGAGAGAATGTGTGTGTGTAAAAATATTAATAATTATGTGGTAATATTCAAGGAAAATGGTATGCTTGAATTAGATAAAAGGAACCGCATTGGGTACTAGAAAACATTTTGATGCAATTTTGGTTAATGGGTTTGCCTTTTCTTCATCCCCCAGTCTGAAGGAGGGAGAACAGTTCAAGTTTCAGGGTTTCCTCAAGGCACATGTGCTGAAGCAGTTAAAAAGTTTCTTGAAAGTATCACAGGCTTTGGGACTGTATATCACCTCAAAATTAGGATTCACAAATCTAAGCCAAATTCAAGAGTATTTGCCATTGTTCAATTTACGACAAGCAAGAGTGCTGAAGTTATCTACTCTCTTGCTCCACAACCCAAGAGTCTATATTTTGGAAATTCTTATGTAATTGTTCGGTACATGGAGAATGATATAGTCCCCAATCCAAGAGTTACATATCACGTTTTAGAGAGTATTCAGTTGTACTTTGGTAACCAGATTTCAGAAGAGTCTTTTGCTATTCTATGGTCCAATACTAATGTCAAGGTTGAATTTGGTTTTGGTCTAAAGAAAATATTCTTCTACTTGGCCCATACTGGTGTCGACTATAAACTGGACCTCTATTACGAGAACATTTGGCAAATCCAGTTGCGACGCCCAGGTACGGAAGGCACAAGATACCTTGTTCTTCAGGTTTGCCCCCATTCAATTGCTTCCATGAATAATGAAAGTTACACCTTTTCATGGATTATTCTTCTCTATCCTTTGTTTATATCATTGAAGTGATGTTGTTCTTCGTCTATCTATTTTTCTTTGCCTTCGTTGCACTGAATTTATCTCATGCAAGGAACACTGTTGTTTGAAAGTTTACCTTCGGGCTGCACATGGATTGTTGACTTATGTTTTTGAAGAATTTACATTGCCGTTAAATGGGTCTTACTTCATGGACTATGGTATACGCAAAACAGGCTCTGGAAGACGATATTCTGCTTATTTGGCTGATCTGTTAGTGCAAGAGAAGATCATGGAATAATTCAATGCTAAGTACCTTCTCCTACTGGGTGGATAGAATATCCTCGAGTTTGTGTTTCCCAGTGATTTTTGCTCATTTTGTTCCACAATCTCTCTTGCAATTGTATTTCTTGCACACATATTTAAGATTAGTGATTTGACCAAAGTTGTAGATTGCCAGAACTTCTGTTAATTTTTTTGGATATTTTCATATTAGCTATTGACAAATTTGTTTATGTAAAAATTTACCATTGGAACCCAACAAAAAGAATGATATTTCTTGGGTCATAGATGCAAATTCCCCAGAATTTTATGAGAGTGGAAATATGGTAGAACAGATATTCTAGGAATTGGAAAATTCTGTAGCAAATAGAGAATATGGTAGGACAAACCCTCTTGTATCGGAAAATTCTGTTTGTTCTTTTCCTTTGGAAAGTCCGTTTGGTTTTAACTAGTTGGGATTAATTTGCAAACAAGAGAATGATTAAAAATCTTGTTGACATGGAGGGACCAACCTGAAGAGTGGTAGCTGTGGTTAATACTTGATGGGCTGATCTATGAGTCTCATGAGACTGCCTCTCTTTGGGGTTTTGTTTGTTGATTGATGTACATTTTCTTTCTTCTCGGTAAAAAGGCTTCTAAATTTGAATAAGATGGCTTCTGTATTTGAACTTGAGTTTGCCAGTAAATTGCGTACTTTCTTATTTTGTTTGGTTTGAGAGTTAGTGCTTTTATTTGAGCAGTAACACTTGTAAATATCAATTTTCTGGCTTCTTTTATTTACTGGAATAAATGTGTAGTTCATTTTTATCTTTAAGAAGTTGCTGTTATTTGCTGGCGATGAACAATGTGCCTTGGTCATTAACAGATGCAAGGAGCCCCTCGGATTTTTCAGAAACCTCTCTCATTTTCATCTGATATTTATGATAGCCCACTTTTTAATTACTACAAAGATTTTCCAGATGAACAATGGGTTAGGAGTATAGATTTTACTCCATCTTGCAGCATAGGGCAGTCTTCGTCTTTGTGTTTGGCCCTTCCGAATGGAACCAGGATTCCGAATATTCGTGAGAACTTTGCATATTATAAAGAAATTGGAGGTGCATTCAATCTGAAAACGGGTTCTTCTTTTTCACACTCACTGCATCTGGTCCCAATTGTTCATCCCCCAGACCAGATTAAGCTGCCCTACAAAATCTTGTTTAGGGTAAATTCCCTGGTTCAAAATGGGTTTCTCGTGGGCCCCACACTTGATACTGAATTCTATAATTTGCTCAATGGGCTTCCATCTCCTTTTGTGGAGCGCTCTCTTGAGGATATCTCCCGTTTAACAAATTGTTGTTTAGAACCAGCAAAGTGGCTCCAAGAACAGTATAAAAAATACAGAAACTTGCCTAGGCGCCCTTCTCCAGCTGCTATATCTTTGGAGCCTGGCTTGGTTTATGTGCACAGGGTTCAAGTGACCCCTTCAAAGGTGTACTTCTATGGACCTGAAGTTAATGTTTCAAATCGAGTGCTGCGTCAGTTCTCCAACTACATCGATAACTTCCTTCGCATCTCTTTCATCGATGAGGACTTCGGCAGCATTCGATCAACTGATTTATCCAAGCGAATGGCTTCTGGGGCTGAGGAAAAGCATACCACTGTTTATGGCAGAGTATTGTCGACTTTGAAAAATGGGATAGTGATTGGTGATAAGAAATTCGAGTTTCTGGCTTTCTCATCAAGCCAATTACGTGATAATTCGGCTTGGATGTTTTCCCCTATTGATGGTATCACTGCAGCTAATATTAGACAATGGATGGGAGATTTCAGTGGTATTCGAAATGTGGCAAAATGTGCAGCAAGAATGGGTCAGTCATTTGGCTCTTCCACAGAAACTCTGAATGTTAAACCTGAGGAAGTTGAGAGAATAAGTGACATAAAGAACGGGAAATATGTTTTCTCTGATGGGATAGGGAAAATCTCTTTGGAGTTCGCGAAGAAAGTTGCCTTGAAGTGCGGTTGTAGTGAGAAGACACCCTCTGCCTTCCAAATTAGATATGGTGGGTATAAAGGAGTCGTTGCGGTGGATCCAACGTCACGATACAAGCTCTCCTTGAGAGGGAGCATGAGGAAGTATTCATCTAATAACACAAAATTGGATGTCTTGGCATATAGCAAGTTTCAGCCTTGTTTTTTGAACCGTCAGGTTATCACTCTTCTATCAACCTTGGGGGTTCAAGATAATGTCTTTGAGACAAAGCAAAAGGATGCAGTCTCACAATTGGACAAAATTCTTGTGGACCCAGAAAGTGCATTTGAGGCTCTTGAGCTCATGTCCCCTGGTGAGAATGTTAACGTTCTTAAAGAGATGTTGTTTTGTGGGTATTTACCAGATTCAGAGCCTTTCCTTTCAATGATGCTTCAGACTTTTAGGGGATTAAAGTTGTCAGAACTTAAAACAAAGACAAGGATATTTATTCCAAATGGGAGATCGATGATGGGTTGTTTGGATGAAACTGGAATTCTTGAATATGGGCAAGTTTTCGTGCAATTTTCTGCCATTGGTAATAGAAGATTACATGAATTTGGTCTCTCAAAGATAAATGAGAGTGGGTCTGACCAAAGAGTTCGTGTTGTGGTTGGTAAAGTCATAGTGGCTAAAAACCCCTGCCTTCACCCTGGAGATGTGCGTATCTTGACAGCCATTGATGTGCCAGCCTTGCACCATATGGTCAATTGCGTTGTTTTTCCACAAAAGGGGAAGAGGTCGGTACCTTCAGGCTCTGACATTTGCAAATAATTCATCCTTTTTTCCTTTTATTATTTGCAGTATGCTTTCTCTGTATTTGAAGTTTGGTGGAGCATGATTGCTTTTGACAAATTAGTTTGATAGATTGAATGAATGATATTTTGAATATCCTATTTTTGAGTTTACACCATGGTTTAAAATGTCGGACTGGTAGGTCAAATGGGTCACCTACTAGTTCTGAGTCAAATTGGCGATCTACTGTATTAAAAAAAGAAAAGAAAAAGAAGAATGAAAAGAAAACCAAAGATAAAAAAGATATATCTGGGGGTTGAAAGGAGGCAAAAAATTAATTACTGAAAAATGATAAATCGAGATCAAAATGGAAAGATTAACTTTTAAAAATTGAGATCAAAATGGAAAAAAAAAAGAAGATCATTTTCTTATCTTTTGATTTCACCTAATGGGAGAAATAGAACAAAATCATGTCTTCTGGAGAGAAAAATTTAGCTAAACAACAAAGGAGAATCAAAGGAAGGGGTAGAAAAAGAAAAAAAAACAACCAACATAGATGATATGAAAATTTTTCTTTGGGGTTTTATAGGTCAATGTGATAGGACCATTTTGGGATATATTCGATAGAATATGGTGAAACAATGAGAGAGAAATTGTAAATTTTCAATCTGGAAAGAAAAACTCCCATACTTTTGACTCTCGATTTCTTCTGTTTCTTCTTTTTTTATTTTTTGTGAAGAAATGAATGACGAATACTGAATATGGCGAATTGGGAGTTTCTTGAACAAACTAGGTTTTTTTTTTCTTTTTTTAAATTGCCCAATTCTGGGGTGATCATGGACCGGTTCCCCTCCAGTCCCGAGATCCCTAGTCGGCTTGGCAATATTTTAGACATTGGTTTACATAGGCACTGTGTTGTTGATTTATTTCAGTCAAATACTATTACATTGATTTTAATTTCTTGCATATTTTGATATCCAGGTTTATGTCGTGCTCAGAATGACTTGTTTTCAGAACATCTAATATTAGTTTCTACTGCTTTTTGCTTTTCTTTACCGTTTGAAACTGCGGATCCCCATTATTTTCTGGCTTCATATGTTCCGAGTGATCATTGGGAGTCACTACATAAAAGGGCTTGAGGCCGGAAGCACAACACATGTTAGAGACATACAACTGCACTGATTATTGATGGACAATATGTGAAGCAAGACTCATTGTGATAGGAAAAACCACTTTGACCACTGTTGAACTCCCATAATTATGTTGTACTTGGCCATTACTTATGGCAAGGTGCTTAACTCTCCCAGTAGCACAAACCTGCATTACATCTGAGTCCTTAATTTAAGAACATCTTATGCTGAACTTTTAAAGTCAACAAATAATTTCTTTATTCAAATATGCTAACATCACTAATAACTGTGTCTGGTTAGGTATGTCCTTCACTACTGACATGACTTGAAATGTCTGGTCACTATCATGAGTCTCTTTATTCCAAGGCAACCTTGTCCTGTATACTGGTAATGACTCTTTTTATATCTATCAAATGAGATTCAAGAGCAGAGAGAAGCGGTACCACTCTAGATGCTGGAATATGTATCAGTCCTTCTTGTTAGGAGGACAACCAGCAACATAGTATTTTCTAAAGTAAACCATGTTCCTCAAATATATTGGATAACACTAGTGACTAGTTTATGAATTACGACAAAGTGGTATGCCTTACAAATCACGTAGGTATTTCTGATAAGTTATCTGATGCTCCCTTGGTTGAAGAAGTGGTTTTGGAGATGCTCGACTTGCTTGTGTTTGTTTGAGTCTTGTGCCACCTATAAAGCTTTAGTGAGCGCTTGCTCTTTTTCTTCACATGTGGAGTGCAGAGGTTCACATGCATGCAACACAGACACACACACACAGAGTTTGGACACTTCTATTTGCATTTTTTAAATTTTTATAATTGTTACTAATGTACTCATGTTGTTGTGATTTCAGGCCTCATCCCAATGAGTGCTCAGGAAGTGATTTAGATGGTGATATTTACTTTGTGAGCTGGGACCCAATGCTTATTCCATGTCATCAAGGCACACCAATGGAGTACGAGCCAGCACCAAATAATGATTTGGATCATGAAGTCACAATTGAGGTACCAGTTCTATAAAATGCCACATTTTTTACTGTAAATGAGATTATTAACCAAATTGTCATTCATATGTTATAACTGCAGTAGTTTGAAGTTTATATGATACTTTTCATGGTGATCGAACACATAACTCAAGTTAGTGTGAAATTATATTATAGTCCCATCAACTTTGTAGAACCCTGTGTCCATTGGCTAATTGTCATCCATTAAAATGAGAGAGAGGAGAGAACCCACACTGAGGGGGCCTATGTGTCCTAGGATTTCAGTTTTTTTTAAAGGAAAAAATATTGCCAATTGTTCGCAAATAAAAGAAACTTGAAATTTATAAAGATGAAAACGGGTATTTATGTGTACTAGGATTTAAAAAGGGTGTGGTGCGCATAGGTTGCAACCTTAAACTATAAAAGTAAGGTACACCACAAAATTTTATCATAAGATGTAATTTTGGTGTAAAAAATTCTTATGATAGCCTGAGAATCAATTTTCATATCTAATTATAAAATCTTGGGTACCAAAAATGGTTCAAATCAAGTAGATCTATAAGCATATGAAATTCTTGAAAATGGACCGTCTAGAAAATGTGTTGCGAAATGTACTATTTTTAGGACTCAAAATCTATTTTTTTTTATATTCATACATCCCGATGTTGAGATAATCAATTAGAGGGTTTTCTAACTTTAGAACAACCTTTTACAATGGATTTTTTTGGTGCCCCTTAATTCTACATTTTAAGGTTGCAACCTTATATAAACTTTTTTCTTTAAAAAACAAGCTGAATTTTGTTTAGACAATGAAAGTGGATTTTTCTTTCTTCTAAACATTCTCTGAAGGTTTGTCAAACCTGATGTTTCTCTTGCAAATTATTTGAAATTAGTGTTGGTTTCAATACTCCTCAAACTCTTTATCTTTTCATGGTTTCCCTATAAACATAAACATGTTCAAGTATTCATACCACGAGAATCCATACCAGCAGTTCTATATGGAACCACAATCTTTTTATCTCTAGATTCCTTATTCTCTAAAAATTCTTTTGCTCCATGTCATGATGCAGGAGATTGAAGAATACTTCACTAACTACATGATCAACGACAGTCTTGGCATCATAGCAAATGCTCACACAGTCTTTGCAGACAAGGAGCCTATGAAGGCTGATAGCACCCCTTGTGTAGATCTTGCAAACCTTTTCTCAGTTGCGGTGGACTTCCCAAAGACTGGTGTCCCAGCTGACATACCCCAACATCTCTATGTCAAAGAGTATCCTGACTTCATGGACAAAACCGATAAACCTACTTATCAATCTAGACGAGTTATTGGGAAGCTTTTTCGAGAAGTTAAGGACTTGCCTCCTCACACAAGTGCAATAACTTCTTTCACTAAGTCAGTGGCTTTGAAGAGCTATGATCTGGACATGGAGGTAGACGGGTTTGAGCTTTACTTAGATGATGCCCATTGGTACAAAAGTGAGTATGATTTTAAGCTTGCGGGTCTCATGGATCACTATGGTATCAAAACTGAGGCTGAAATTGTCAGTGGAAACATACTTAGCCTTGCTAAATCTTTTACTAAAAGGAGGGACGCAGAGGCCATAGCATTAGCCATGAGGTCTCTTAGGAAGGAGGTGAGAGGTTGGTTCAAAGAAAAGAGGAGTGTGGTTGATGAAGGGGATTACTCGCTTGATGATGATGTGTATGCCAAGGCATCGGCATGGTATCACATTACGTACCATCCGGAATATTGGGGAAGCTATTTCGAAGAGGATGGAAGGAATCGAGCACATTTTATAAGTTTCCCGTGGTGCATTTATGATAAATTGATTCATATAAAGCGCCATAGGATTGGAAGAGGAAGGAACTCTCGATCATCATCTCTTGCATCCACCATGGAGAGGACCCTAATGTTGAGTTGATAATGAGTTCTTTGCCTTGTTTTCGCACTTGGATCAGCATTCCAAGCTTGCAACTTGTGTGAGTGTGTGTCCGTCTGTGTGCATGCTTTTGTGTGAGTGATGGTGAGAGAGTAGAGGGGGGATTTGTGCATCTGCATGTGTGAGAGGTTTTGTGCTTGTCATAGTATTTGTGTGTTTGTGTGTTTGTGAGTGTGAGAGAGAGAGTGTTGGCTGTGTGCATGAGATAGAGAAAGTCCATTTAGTCTTCCAATTTGCTGAAAGATACTTGGGGGGTGTGTGTATTCTGTGTCTGAGTGAGAGAGAGAGAGTTAATCTAGTTTTCCAATTCTCAAAGAGGTTATTTTGTGCATGTGTGTGTGAGAGAGAGAGACAAAGAAAGGTCTTTCATATGACTTAAGGGATAGGTTTTGTGCACTCTCATTTCATTTAGAGAGACACCGAGGGTTTGTGCTACTCTTTCAACGAGGGAGGCTTTGTTCATATTGCACCCTTCAATTCCATTGAGAGATGGATAGGTTTGTTTCGTTCTTTCACTGAGAGAGGTCTTGTGCATTCTCATTTCATTGAGAGAGGTCGCAAGGAGTGAGGTTTGGGAGCTCCCACCTTCAGTTGAGAGAGAAAAAAATGGTTTGTCCCACTTTGTTGGGAGGTTTTGTGCAATCGATTTGGCCAAGAGAGGCAAAAAGCACTGTTGCATGCATGTCATGTGCGTGTGTAGAGAGAGAGGGAGATAGATATTCTGACCCTCTTTTGTTTCATTGAAACGTGGGAGTCCAAGGTCCCCATAGCAGCTGACGTACCCAGAGAGAGATTCTGACCCTCTTCTGTGGCAATGCAACTTGGGAGTCTAAGGTTCGGATACTTGAGAAGGAGGATTACTGCATGCAGTTAGAGAAAAACCATGAAGAATGGCTTTCCTATTGTAAATGTAGTTAAAAGGTGAGTAGTTTGGATATTTGTCTTGCTGAAAACTTACATCATGATGTAAATATTTAGTTTTCGGTGTTGTTCGAGTGTGGCTGGTTTATTTTATGATTGTCAATTAGTATATTATTAGAAGTGATGAATACTATTAGGTGTTACTCAAGTTTGGGTTTATTGTCTTGTTGAAAAGCAAAGATGGAACTGAATATATAGTAAGATTTGATTTCTGTTATACATTTAAACAAATGTGAAAATTATGCTGAGATGCGTTGTAGTTTTAAAACAAAAAATTGAATGTTTTATCCATTCTTAACAAGGCAGTTTATGTGGACTGTTCCTTTACCTAAATTGGTAGACAAGCATTCATCTCAACCGATTGTTGATAGTAAATGGTTGATATTGATGTGAATTATGAAATACGATTGGAAGGGTTAAAAAAAATAGGTATAATGTAATGTAACTAGTCTGGTCGGTTTTTGTTCCAGTTGGTTAAAGCAATTATATAAAATAAAATTGCCCAAACCCAACCTGAAACTGGGCTGGACCTTATCCCCATCATCTCCTTAAATTTTAACCCACTTTGAAGCCTAAATGGTACTTATTATTGTTTGAATCTTCATTATTAAAATGGTGCAATTGGGTTTGGATCGAACAAATTCGAACCTTGACCTAGCAAGGTCCTGATCTGAGGGCTGGCCTGGATCCAGACATAAACTGGGTGGGCTCTAGGTCCTGTTGGACTTGAATTGGGGGTTCAAATGACTAGGACCATGGATGGGATCGGTGGGCCAAAATCCAGCGTGGACCATACTCAAAAATGAATTTTTAAACCTTGAAAATTCTTTTTAGAAATATCAAGTATTTTAGGTAAGTGACTTCATTAACTTGAAAAATAATTCGTTCTTTTTAAAAATGAAAGGAAATAATTACTCTTGCTTATTATCATAAATTTTAGGTGCGATAAATTTTATGCACAAAAGACCTCATTATTTTGAAAAGTAATCTTTTTGATACAATTGTGATATTTTATCTATGTTAGAAATTTTAAATGCTGTAAATTTTTAGAAATAAAATTATTTTCTTGTTTATTGTTAGAGAATTTTAGATACTGTAAAATTATTAGAAATAAATGTGATATTTCTGCTTTTAGTAAAATTGTGAGATTTCTTTTTACTGTTTTTTAATATTTAGACATTGTAAAATTCATGTGTAAAGGACTGCCTTATTATTTGAAAATTGATATTTTTACATTTGATTATAGCATTGTCTGTCAAATGTCTATTTGCGAATTGACATCCCATAAATTACTATAATTCTGTATTCTTGGATTTTTATAAGAGTTTTCTATATATACTTGATTGGCAATTATGCTAGAATGTCCTTACGAACTGCTACCTTTCTGAATTTGAGCCAAAAATATTTGACTGGTTATTTTTGAAATGTTATTGAAAGTGACTGTTATTAATGGTTTCAGTGAAATTCATATTAATAATTTCAGTGATATGTTGAGTACATGATATTGTTGCTTTCGAATGTTTAAAGAAATTTAAAAATACTTTAAGTATGCAAGTGGACTCATCCGGTTCACCGGTGAAGTATAAGTGGACCTATCCGGTACGCCGGTAGGGATTAAGTGGACTCATCCGGTACGCCGGTGAGGTATAAGTGGACCTGCAGGGATTAAGTGGACATATTTGGGACGCCGATAGGGATTATTAAGTGGACCCATCAGGACGTTGATGGGGTATATAGGTGACCTACTGAGAACGCCAATAGGGTATTTTGTCAAATCTTTTGAATTATGCACTGACGTTAAAATGTTATACGCATTTCACTTATTTGAATTATACTTAATTATGTATTTTTTAAAGTGAAATTGTTGATGCATTTCTGTTAATAGATCTCCTTTTTGAAAATATCGATATCTTTCAACCATGATTATTTTTAGGATTATGATGATCATTTATTAAGTAGCCAAATTCATCAAATTATGGTAGACATTTTTTTTCAGGATAACTGCGGTTTTATTTTAAGTGCTCGTCAGGATCAACTCTGGAAGATATTGTAGTTGTGTGTAAACTTTCTTTTGTTACTTTGTAAGAATTCGTCATTGTAAATTTATCCTAAAAAGATATGTATATATGTTTTGACTATCACATCTCAAGAATATCAGTATTGTAAATTCTTGGGGCGTGACAGAGCATTTTCTTGATTCATTCACTGCTATAACTCGATCCATACGTACCTTTTTCCCACAGTTATCAGGATGTACGTTCTTGAATTCAGTGAACATACTTAAAAAAAAAAAAATATCTTCGTACCCCTAATTTTGGTTTTCATATCTCAATTGACCAAAAGATTCAAAATATATCTCCTAACCCCCCGACTAACTTTACATACTTTTAACTATTTTTTTAGCCCTAACAAATATAAAAAAAAGATGCTCATCCTCAACCCTTTCTCTCTTTATGTGATATACTCTATCAAATTTCTCTCTCTAACATTCACCCTCTGTCTCTCTAGCGGGGAGAGAGTAGAGAGAGAGTGATAGACACGGGGGAGAGAGAGTGGAAAAATAAGTAGAGAGAGATTAGGAAAAATTACGTGAAGAGAAAAATGATGGTGTTTAGAAATGATATGTTTTTTTAATATTTGTTTGGAGCAAAAAAATAAGTTTAAAGGAGATAAAGTTAGCTTAGAAAAAAAGAAAAAAGAAGAGGAAGAAGGGGTGGGGGTGGGGGTGGGGGTGGGGGCTAGGGGCTCGGGGTGAGAATAAAAAAAATGAGATAAACCATGTGCATACAAGAAAAAGATGACCTCACGACATAGAACATGTATTCTACAAATTTTAGACGTTAGATATAAGTGTTTAACCGCCCAAAATTCTTTTTGTTTTGAAAATAATTATAGGAAAATTAATAAGTAGATCCCAAAAATTCCATATAAAAAATAAGCCGGGAGATCCTTTTCCTTAGAGGGTACGTTTACAAAAATTGCTCCCATAGGAGGATAGCATATGCGCCCCCCCATAAAAGTATCCACACTAAAGTTTGTCCTTGAAAACCGTCGTATTATGATTAATAGGTGGATTTCAATTATTCACATGTGCCTCCAAATAACGGTGGCAGTGGGCCGGGTAGGATAGCTTGGTAGTCAGGCCGACCCTGAAAAATTAGGGCTTGGGCTATGAAATGTGGCTTAAGGGCCGGGCCACCGGCAACCATGCCCTGACGGTAGGGCTAAGCCGGGCTAAGCCAGGGCTGACTCGCCCTAGACCAAGGCCGACTTGGCTCTCTTTTTCTTTCATTTTTATTTATTTATTTGGCTTGGCCTGGCCCGGCCCAGCCCGACCAAGCCCATCATTGATAGGGCTTAGGACCAATCCTAGGCTAAGGCCTTTATGGCCAGTCAGGGTCGAGCCGGACTTATCCTATGGGGACTAGGGCTAAGGTTGACCTAGCCCAAGCTCAACCCATCGCCAGCCTATCTCTAAAGTAGCGCTTTTGTAATGGAATAGTCATGCGTATACTCGTGTGAGAGCATAATGCATGTGTTCCTTTCCAACCACATCTCTATGTAGAAACCTCACCATTTTTAACTACTTCTCTCTAAGTATACGTCAAAGTAAGGGAAAGTTTTCAATTTTTACATACTTCTCTCTAAGTATATGTCAAAGTAAGAGAAAGTATATAATGAGATCATTTACATTTTTTGTACTTTTTTTATAAGTTGTGTTTTGTTTCATTATGTTTTAATATATTTTCATATTCTTATTTTTTTGTATTTCTTATTTTTTAATATTTTTAGCACAAGTAAGTACGTATACAAATATGCATACACATCTGTTTAACAACCCAGTCGGGTTGACTAGGAACCGGCTAGGTAAACTGGAACGGGCCATTGGCTGAGCCGATTTTGGTCGATTTAAGTGTCAGGTCGGGTATTTTAAAAGAAATTAAAAAATTAAATTAAATCCCAAATAAGGGATTTGTTTGTAATGTATTTTTTAATATTTTTTATCATTTTGGAAAAGATTAAAAAGCATTTTGACGGTGAATACTTGTTTTTATATTTTTTTTGAATTATTTCTAAAATACCCCTGACATAAATCGATTTTTTAAAATTAATTTTTTTTTTCACTACGTTTCAATTTCACTTGAATGTGTATTTTTTTAATTATGCTTTAAATATATTTTCATATTTTTTATATTTTTATTTTTTAATACTTTTTAACCCAATCTGGACCGGCTTAGTTAAACCAAGTTAACCAGCCGGTTTCCAGGTTACTCGGACTGAGGCCTAGGCTGATTTTTGGGGCCTCCTTAGTGCAATCAAATACTAATGCCCACACAAACACACACTTTTTTATGCTTGGAATCCCAAGAAAATACATAAAATACTAATTTATTGCGAAGGTCTACTGCAATAGAATGGTTCAAATTTCAAATATTCCTTGGGCGGTGCGGTTTCTAGATCCGAACCTTTCATTTCATATTGGATCAAAATCCCCATGCGTATCTTTGTGTAAGGACTCAATTGCATGCAATCTAAACTGAGGCGGTTTCTTATTTTAGCTAGCAAGAGGGAACTTTCTTCTTAAATGAAAAAGTTTATATATGTTCCCTCTTCTTAAATGAAAAAGTTTATATATGGTCGCGACTTTAAATGTAGAGTTTATGGGCACCTCTAAAATCTATTGGAAAAGATTGATTTAATCTATGGTTAAAAAAGGATTGGTGATCCGGATCGGGCTCAAAAATCGATCCAAATGGGTGAATTGGTGGTCTAGATTGGGAATCGATCGAATCGGTCGGATTTGGCTTTAAAAAAAATCTAAAAAAATTATTAAAAAATATTATAAATATTGCTTTTTAGGAATTCAATAAAAAATGGGGGTACTCCATTAAAAACTTTCATTTTTTTTGCATTAATGTGTAAATATTGAGATATTATTTTCCGGCATGAATTATGGTTAACCATTAAATTTACATCACATAAAAAGATAAGCATAGAATTATCATGGATGGAGTATATCATTATACATGGACTACAATAAAAACATATATTCAATCGATGAAAATATGGCCACCACAATCTTGAATTAGAGGAAAACCATAATCCACTAAAAAAAACTCAAATTATTACAACCTAACTAACTATAATGTTATATATTTAATTTGAAATTGGTGGTATACCTTTTATAATTATTTTACTATACAAATAGTAACAAATGCAAAATATCTTATAATATAATCTAATTTAAAATATATTATTGACAACTGTAAAAAAAAAATACTACATTGCATAATTTATAATACAAATTTTTTTTTTCCAAAAATCTTGTTTTTTAGGTTTCTAGAATAAATTTAGAGGAAGAGATTGTTAGTAGAGAGAGAGATTTCAAATAGCCTCATTGTATGAACCCTATTTTTAAATTCATATTCCTAAATTTATGTTAAGGCCCACCATGTTATAAAAATAAAAAAATATAATTAGACAATTTATTCCTAAGTAAAAAAAAAAAAAATCTAACAATAGGCATTCATATATGAGAGAGAAAAAAACAGCTAACAGGCTACAAGCCTATATTGTATTACCTTTACATATTTAATTTAAGCTTACGATAATCGCAGCTCAAGTGCGTTCTTGAAAAACATGATACTTGTTGTATTATATGTTATTTATTTATTGACAATAAATACTTGTTGTATTATCTTTTTTTTTTTTGACAAGAAAAATAAGAAGATAGTGTTGCGTAGGTGTCTTTTATTTTATTTTTTGACAAAAAAGAATTTAAAATAATACTTGTTGTATTATCTTTTATTTATTTATTAACAAGAAATACTTGTTATATTACATTTGTTTCTTTTTAACAAAAAAAGAAAAAGAAATGGTGTTGCCTAGGCATCTTTTATTTTATTTTTTTACAAAAATAATTTTGACAAGAAATATAAGAAGATAGTGTTACCTAGGTATCTTTTATTTTTTAACAAAATGAATTTTGACAAGAAAAATAAGAAGATTGTGGCCTAAGTATCTTTTATTTTTTTAACCAAATGAATTTTGACAAGATGTTGCCTAGGTATCTTTTATTTTATTGACAAAAAGAATGGTAGGTTTGAAGTAGAGAAAAAGAATGACAGGTTCGAAGTAGAGACCTCGACCTCTACACCAAATCACCACTTTGTGTATTAATTTTCATAATAAAAACTTATATTACCTGTTACAGTAAGAATTTTCCCACATCGAAAACTTAAAGGAAAATTAACATGTATAAAAGACCTGAGGACCAGCACATTAATGACGATTGAATGGGGCATGGGTTTGGTGATGGTCAGTGTGCAGTGAGCCATGATAAAGTCCCCTTATTTTGAAAAAAAAATTTCCCAATTACCCTTGCAAAAAAAATTGAAAACAAATGTAGGGCGGTTCAAAACACCGAGTCATGATGTCACTCGGGCGTCTCTCTCAATGTAGGGTGGTTCAAAACACCGAGTCATGATGTCATTTGGGCGTCTCTCTTTAGAGACTAAGTGTAGGGTGGTTCAAAACATCGAGTCATGATGTCACTCGGAGAGAGACTCATTGTAGGGTGGTTCAAAACACCGAGCCATGATGTCACTCGGGCGTCTCTCTTTAGAGACTCAATGTAGGGCGGTTCAAAACACCGAGTCATGATGTCACTTGGGCACTCAATGTGCGGCGGCTCAAAACGCCAAGTCATGATGTCACTCGGGGGTCATGATGTCACTCAGGCACTCAATGTAGGGCGGTTCAAAACATCGAGTCATGATGTCACCCGGGCACTGATTGTGGGGCGGTTCAAAACACCGAGTCATGATGTCACTCGGGGGTCATGATGTCACTCAGGCACTTAATGTAGAGCGGTTCAAAACATCGAGTCATGATGTCACTCGGGCAGGTGGGTTCATTGTAGAGACTTGGGCAGTTCACTTTAGAGACTATCGATTCGTGATGTCACTCTTTGAACCGAGTCCGAGTCATGATGTCACTCTAGTGTAGGGCGGTTCAAAACACCGAGTCATGATATCACTCGGGGGTCATGATGTCACTCAGGCACTCAATGTAGGGCGGTTTAAAACATCGAGTCATGATGTCACTTGGGCGGGTGGGTTTATTGTAGAGACTTGGGCGGTTTACTTTAGAGACTATCGAGTCGTGATGTCACTCTTTGAATCGAGTTTGAGTCATGATGTCACTATAGTGTAGGGTGGTTCAAAACACCGAGTCATGATGTCACTAGGGCACTCAATGTAGGGTGGTTCAAAACACCGAGTTATGATGTCACTTGGGCAGGTGGGAGTCATGATGTCATTCAGGCACTCAATGTTGGGGT